GTAAACGAAGTTGAGATGACGATTCTTTTCCGCAAGACCCATACCAGATGGTAGATGTAGAGTACAGGTTCATGGGACCTTCTTCCCCTGACTTGTTGAAGAATGGTGCCTACAAATTTGATGATGTAAAAGCAAATCAAATCTTCAAGAATGTGAACCTATGAGTAAGATAACTGAAACTGAATAGCATTTGTGATATATCAGCATTATATGTATGTATATATATAATATATATATATATATATATATATATATATATATATATATATATGTGTGTGTGTGTGTGTGTGGTGTGTGTGTGTGTGTGTGTGTGTGTGTGTGTGTGTGTATGTATATATGTATACAGCTAATAACTGAAAACAGGAAAAAAGTGTTCTTACCATGCTTAATAACGAATGCAAATTAAGGAACCCCTTTTTGTAATTAAACAAGTGTAATTACTTAATGAAGAGTCAGTTTCTTATTTGAGATTTTGTGGAACGAATAAAATGTTTGAAATTTTCTGTTTCTAGGAGTTTTTTTTTTTTTTTTTTTGGGGGGGGGCAATCATTTTGCATGAAATTTATTAACCTGTGTGAGCAAATTTCTTCCCCCAAAACACGGGTAATAAATTTGCCACTTTTCTTTAGATAACTGTATAAAGTTATGAGTTAGGCCAAATATTATGTTACCATGGAGTGTAGGGGATGCCTAAAGATTACACGGAAATCACATTCTTTCTAAATAAAATTGCATGTACACCAGATATCTCTTTAAATTAGCAAAAGTGTTACCCCAGTCGACTATATGTATGTATTATATCTAATGTATATTATACATACATATATATATATATATATATATATATATATTAATATATATATAAATATATATTATATATATATATATATATATATATTATATAATATATAATATATTATATATTATATATATATATATATATATATATATATATATATATATATTATATATATATATATATATAAAGATGACAGGTGTAAATATCATTAATCCTTTTCAATAGGTTCATAAATGATTTCAGTTAAGCAATACTGATATATTAATGTATGGAAAAAACTACATAAATTTACATATGAAATTGCAATGTAGACAGATACATACCCCATGTCCTACAAGTTATATTTAATGTTCTAATACTCTATTACTATATACGTTTCAGATATGAAGGTCTAACTGCCTATGAAACTGCGAGGAGTGGCTACGTGGATCTTCCTGCACGGTGTTGGCGAAAGGAAGAAGAGGTAAAAAAATAAACATTTGAAAATAAGAATTATAGGAGCAGTCAAGCGTCGATATTGTAAATCTAAATTTAAAAAGGCACTGCATAAGACGTCTATAAATCGCCTTTGTTGATGAATGAACTATATTAATACAGGTCTAGGTGGGCCCAAGTCTGGTATTAATTCTCAATAGATAATCATTCAAAAATTCTCTACCATGTCTAGTTTAGCCTACTCCCGGTCTCGATTTGCACTTACTGGCCTCCATAAAAAAAAAAAAAAAAAATGGTTTCTAGAGTGGTCTGTATGATCCCAGATCCCTAATGCCCTTTAAACCATTTGCAAACTAACGTCCAAAGTGAGTTATGTTATTACCGTGTCTTTTATATCCTAGATAAGGCATTTTAACTGATTTCTGATTTTCCAATGATGTTTAAAAAAATCAAAAAAAATCAAAAAAATCTTGTTAGACTGTTTCCTCGGCTTCTCCTTCGACGTCCGGGGATGTAATATTCGACAGACAACGAATTAAGGTTGTCTTTGAATCTGCTGACGTGTCCCTTGGTGCTAGATCGCTTTACGAGATCGCCTCGAGTTCTCATAAATCAAAGTCCTTTCACAAGACGGGTGCGTCGATGAGGAGAACGGGGAGGGGAAGAAACAAGGGGAGGGGTGTCGAGAAAAAGGAGAGGGAGAGGGAAGGGGAATGAGAGGGGAGGAGTGTTGAAGGGCGGAAGGGGAGGTAGGGAGGGGTAAACCTTGGAAAAGAGTCCTTGGGCGCCAGTGAGACAGTGGCACGTGGCAGGGTCGTAGGAGTACACCGATTTGTCTATGAACGAGCGGTACTGGGCATGCGTAGAGGATACTGAGGTAGATTACAGCTCAGTCTAATCTTTTCGATTATTTTTTTTTATCATTAAAAGGGACAGTTCTCAAATAACCAAAATGACCATCTTTATGCATAGACTGTTAAATCTATTTAGAAGGGATGACTCATTATCATTAATCGGTCAACAATTACCAATGCAAATAAATTATATACTGATATGCATACAGAATAAAAAAAAAAAAAAAACTAAATGTTTCTTCCTCCTTTGTCCATCAAAGAGAATGCATTTGCACTGAACAAAGATCTTGCCAGTGCCACCGTAAGTTCACCTTGTTCCAACTGTAATTCCCGTCACAGCTTCAGATCACAGACGATGCAGTCCCATATCAACACACACCACTGACTCCCCGCGTTGCTAAGAGCTACAACAACAACACGTCGCATATGTTGTAGTGGACGGTCATGAGACCCAAGGAACGCTATGACGACGGTGGCTCGGATCTGGTATGTGGTTGCACGCAAGCTGTGACATATACTGAGGTTCCAGAAAAAAGTTACCCTTTCTCTCTCTCTCCGTCTGCCTTGTCCTCTTCGCCCACCACGTCACTCTGCCGACTCTGGCACGACTTCAGACTCTAGGACTCATGTGGGCTCAATTTGCATAATTGGCTGTGCACTAATTGCCTCGCCTTACACCGTGGCACTAATTAAACGTTAACAGCGGTTACGATTTCGTTCAAGAGGGAAAACAACAACAATACCTCTACTCTTGGCTTAAAAATATGGACATACAAAGGCAACAATGGCAGGAACAACGACAATAAAATTGGATAGTAATGGTGATTAAAAAAAAAGAAAAAAAAAATTAAAACAGAAATTGGAGATGCATAATCATGAAAAATACCTTCATTTCATGCACAGGACGCATATCCACATAAATACATACGTGTACACATAAGTATATATATATATATATATATATATATATATATATATATATATATATATATATGTATGTATGTATGTATGTATGTATGTATGTATGTATGTATGTATGTATCTATCTATCTATCTATCTATCTATCTATCTATCTATCTATCTATCTATATCTATATCTATATATATATATATATATATATATATATATATATATATGTATATATATACATATATGTACATATATATACATATATATATATATATGTACATTTATATATACATATATATATTTATATATATATATATACACATATATATGTGTTGGTGTGTGTGTCCCTCCCTCCCTCCCTCCCCCCTTCTCTCCTTTCTGGAAGAAAAATGTTTTTGAAATGGAAAGTTCGAGAGATGTTAATAATTTCTGTAGTTTGATTAACTGAAACAGTAATTGGCTGACAGGCTGACGGACAAATTAAACCTTATTGCAAAGAGCGTTCTCTCCCTGATAGTTTGTTAGTAATCACTGCAATTCAAACCATAAGTTATGCATCTTTTTCTAGAATCGGTATTAACATAGAAGAGAGAACTGTATAAATGAGAAAACGGATAGACAGACAGATACATGTATTTGTTCATATTCACTCAATTTTCTTATCAATGTACTTGCCCACTCACTCACCATCCTTCTCTCACTCCTTCCATCACTCATTCATTTCCTCCCCCCCCCCTCCTCGAAAAACCTCCCCCAAAAGCCCCCGTCTCGTGGCCGCCCCGCTCACGTGCTGATGGCATGACCGCCCACCTTCTCCCAGTGTCGAGTAGGACACGAAGAGGCCAATCAGTGCATGTACATAACCAAAATCATTTTCATACCTCATCACAAGTTTGGATGTATGTCCCATATATCAACGACCCAGTGATGGATTTGTCAACTACAAAGCAAGAAAACAAGTTAATCTGTCATATTATTTGAGTATAATAAGCTCGACCACAGAAGTAACAGAGAAACACATAGCAATTTACAGTTCCATACAATCCCGATATATGCATATGAAAATGACCTATTCCACTAAATGCATGCTGGCGTAATACGATTTATATCCCATATGAATATGCTAAACCGCTGACTTGCATTAGGAAACTCAGTAATAGCAAATAGAACAAAAAGAATTCCGTTAATGTGCTTGTGATTATTAATTTTGATGTGGCCATGATGTGGCAATTTGAAAATGATCCTGCATTTTTATCAGCAGTGAAATTCCCATTTTCAATAAATTTATGTAACCACAATTTTTTTCACAACAAACAGTTCCGGTTTAGAAATACAAGACGAAATCTAATATATATCCTTACATAGCACCACTTATAAAAATAAACGAAGAGAGAGAGAGAGAGAGAGAGAGAGAGAGAGAGAGAGAGAGAGAGAGAGAGAGAGAGAGAGAGAGAGAAAGAGAGAGAGAGAGAGAGAATTACGTTGTACACAGACGACTCCATAAGTCATCTGTGAGTCACTTAGTCATCAATGAGTTGGTAGGTTCTACATGACCCCCACTTGACTTCCCTATCCATTCAATTTTCGGGATCTTTTTTAATGCTCTGAATATGAATATCGATGCTTTTCTTATCACAGTCATTATTGACATTATGATTATTATTGTGGTATAATGCCACCAGTAATAATAATAATAAAAAAATCCAAAAAATAAAGGAAAGCGACTAAAGAACTTGCGTAGACACTAGTAAGCTAACACCACAGAGAACAAGGCATGTGTGTTACAGGGATGCAAATATTGGCAAATTTTGCTTGATTGCTAGTGATAGATTCTACGGAAGACTAATCATTACAAACTATAGCAACTTCTAAAACGTGCAGATGAAATATTCACCATGAATTATGCAAAATAATGATGCTAACGATGATAATGATGATGACAGTATCAACAATGACTATATGACGGTTTTCCATGACACATACTGACCTACCGCATCTACTGATCGAAATGTGCGGCCAAGTGGATTCAAAAACACATATATCTTAATCTATCATAATAAGTATTCTCAGCCATAGATTATATCAGGTGATGTTCTTTTGGAATCTCAGTGGATAATCTTACTCATCATCTGCCTCTGCATTGCCTGAACAGTGGACAAAAACATTAGTTATCTCAGCTAAAGACAACAACATGTGACATGATAAGCTATCTGAGCTATAGAAAACAATGCGTGACATGATAATGATGACAGTTCGTCAATGGAAACTATAAAAGAATGGATGCCACTGGGGTATCACTACAAATGCCGTAGTGATGCTATATCAGCGCCATTCCCTGGTCTCGAAAAGGGCAAGTTTGAAACGGTTTCGGAGTAGAGCCGCATGCCTCATTATCCTAATTGGTCCATAAACACATGGTTACATGAAAAATGGAAAAAAAATATATATTCATCACGCATTGCCTAATGTATTACCGAAACGCTTAATGCATCAAAATAAATTATACCTCCAGTAACCAAAGCCAGCGATGTTAATTTCATATACTTATTTTAAATATATGAAGGACGAGACCAGCGTGGCGATTATGCTCGCTTCTTCCAGATATGCCGTTGCGTCTTATGGCCACAGACAGATGCAACGAACATAAATAAGAAATTCTCAAACTAGTCAGTCCAAAATTTCCATTAATCAACACTCACATCACTTTAAAGACAAGAGTGCAGGTCATTTTGCACGTTATGCATGTGATTATCATTAGTTATCATCAAACCAAAGCAAGATATTTTATGGTAATGTAGAGAGGCGCAGTTACGACAGATGCGGTAAGATATACAAAAAAAAAAAAAAAAAAAAAAAAAAAAAAAAAAAAAAAAAAACGGTATGGGCTCCTTTTTTCTTACAGTTAGTCAATCTCTATAAATATAGAGATTGACTAACTGTAAGAATGGACCGTTAGAACACACGGTGGAATTCGAAGACCTTGACGGAATAGACTTCTCATAATTGACTTATTATAAACCAGCTATTTACTGACACCCCTTTCAACCCACGTTATTTTTCAACCTCTTTCAACTTCTAATATTTCTTTGTTCTCCCGCCCTTGCTATCCCCCAGTCACTTCCAGTCATCCCTTGCTATCCCCCAGTCATTTCTCGTTCTCCCGCCCTTGCTATCCCCCAGTCATTTCTTTGTTCTCCCGCCCTTGCTATCCCCAGTCATTCTTTGTTCTCCCGCCCTTGCTATCCCAGTCATTTCTCTCCCGCCCTTGCTATCCCCAGTCATTCTTTGTTCTCCCCCCTTGCTATCCCCAGTCATTTCTTGTTCTCCCCCCTTGCTATCCCCAGTCATTTCTTTGTTCTCCCGCCCTTGCTATCCCCCAGTCATTTCTTTGTTCTCCCGCCCTTGCTATCCCCCAGTCATTTCTTTGTTCTCCCGCCCTTGCTATCCCCCAGTCATTTCTTTGTTCTCCCGCCCTTGCTATCCCAGTCACTATCCCCCAGTCATTTCTTTGTTCTCCCCCCTTGTCCCCAGTCATTTCTTTTTCTCCCGCCCTTGCTATCCCCCATTCATTTCTTTGTTCTCGCCTTGCTATCCCCCAGTCATTTCTTTTTCTCCCCCCTTGCTATCCCCAGTCATCCGCCCTTGCTATCCCCCAGTCATTTCTTTGTTCTCCCGCCTTGCTATCCCCAGTCATTTCTTTGTTCTCCGCCCTTGCTATCCCCCAGTTCTTTGTTCTCCCCGCCCTTGCTATCCCCCAGTCATTTCTTTGTTTCTCGCCGCCTTGCTATCCCCCAGTCATTTCTTGTTCTCCCGCCCTTGCTATCCCCAGTCATTTCTTTGTTTCTCCCGCCCTTGCTATCCCCCAGTCATTTCTTTGTTCTCCCGCCCTTGCTATCCCCAGTCATTTCTTTGTTCTCCCGCCCTTGCTATCCCCAGTCATTTCGTTCTTCCCTTGCTATCCCCCAGTCATTTCTTTGTTCTCCCGCCCTTGCTATCCCCAGTCATATCCCCCAGTCATTTCTTTTGTTCTCCCGCCCTTGCTATCCCCCAGTCATTTCTTTGTTCTCCCGCCCTTGCTATCCCCCAGTCAGCTATCCCCATCAGCCCTTGCCCCCAGTCATTTCTTTGTTCTCCCTCCCCAGTCATTTCTTGCTATCCCCAGTATCCACATTTTTTGTGTTCTCCCGCCCTTGCTATCCCCCAGTCATTTCTTTGTTCTCCCGCCCTTGTCATTGCTATTGTCATTCTCTTCTCCGCCCTTGCTATCCCCAGTCATTCTTTGTTCTCCCCGCCCTTGCTATCCCCCATCATTTCTTTGTTCTCCCGCCCTTTTATCCCCCAGTCATTTCTTGTTCTCCGCCCTTGCTATCCCCCAGTCATTTCTTGTTCTCCCGCCCTTGCTATCCCCAGTCATTTCTTTCTCCCGCCCCTTCTATCCCCCAGTCATTTTTTGTTCTCCCGCCCTTGCTATCCCCCAGTCATTTCTTTCTTCTCCCGCCCTTGCTATCCCCAGTCATTTCTTTGTTCCCGCCCTTGCTATCCCCCAGTCATTTCTTTGTTCTCCCGCCCTTGCTATCCCCCAGTCATTCC